CTTCCTTTCCTCGACGATTTCAGTCCCTCTGTGTCTCTTTCATCCCCTTTCTTTTTTACTTTCTCCCTCTCTCGCGTGGCGGACCTCAGTTCCCCTCGGTTCTTCGCTCGAACGCGGCTGGCTTTTCACCCCTGACTGCCGAGAGTTTTTTCAGTCGAAGCGTTGTAACGACTTCAATTTAGACGGCGCGTTTCGCAGCGTACGCAACCCACCCCTCGTCGTTCTCCTACCTTGTGACGGGCCAAGAAGCTTTCTCGTTTCGCGACGTTTTCACGGAGAGGGGAGTGGAAGAGGTAAGAAAAGCTGCGGAAGGAAGTCGATGGCGAGACGGTAACTGGTGAACGCGCGCCCGGCATGAACGTTACGGAGATAGGAAGAAACGCAAGAAACACGGAGTAAACGAACCTGAACGCCGCGTTTAGCATCGCGATTGCCGTAATATCATCGTACGATCGTAAATCTGCCGGCACAGACAGAGGACCGTCTCCTATTTATCCGGTTTTTCTTACGTTCTATCCCCTGAAAACTTTCAAGGGTTTGTTAACGCCTGTTCACGTGTGTCAGAGAGAATATAAAGATAGGTAAGGCTTAAGCAAAAGGCAGAAAAGAAAAACGAGAAAATTGTGCAGTTCGCACAAATTATTTGAACGTGTAAGGAGGCCTTAAACGGGTCTTAAACAGGTCTTACACGTGTATTAACGTGTCTTCTGTGAAATAATTCCTGTGCGAACCAATGTCTCGATAAAACAGACTTTCCTACTGGCTCTTTTCCCATCAGAGTTCAATACGATAAGAGTGAAAGAGTGGAAACACTGAGCACGAGACAGAATGAGGAAATGATTATGGCTCCGGTAGCGTCTGTTCCAAATTTTCGACCGCTGGGCCAAGTATTTTCCTCGTGACCCGACTTCCCGGTCAGCGTAATTTGCCGGCGCGAACGCCAGAAAAATTGCGGCTCTTGACCCCGGCCGACAATGCGGCGAGAAAAAAACGGGGCTGGCTGCCGTGTAATTCTCGCGGATTTGTATTTTAATTCGGCGCCCGTCTGCCCCCTTCCCAGTTTGTCGCCGGTATCGCGTCCGACGATTCCACGAGCTGTTGGAGAACCAGCTTTTTCCGCCCATCGTGTGATTTTAGTCTGGATCCCGTAACGCGATAATCTTGCGCTAAAGTGGGTTATATTTTCTTCTACGATCTTCCCCTCGAAACGTTTGCCATTTCCCGCCGCGGAACTTCCAAGATTCTTCTGGATTGCAACGATCGCTATCGTCTATACGGATACTAACCTGAACGCAAAGACTTCGAAACGTCTGATCTTTCGTTGACGTCGAGATCATGACCAGCGTAGCCCCAATTGTTGCGCGACTCTTTCATCACTCGGTCCAGCGAGAGCACCGTGAAGAACTTAATTACAAGGAAAAAATGATTACGCCGAGAGGAGGAGGTGGCGCGGAAAAGAATGTGGGATAGCTGAAAGAAAGATGTAAGGCCAGGTGGGGAGGAGGGCTAAGAGGAAGTATCTGCCAGGCAGTTGCACGACGGAATAAAAAGTTTCCTCGGGATTAACGACAAAGATGATAATGAAGGCCAGTGTCGGGGACGGACGATTATTATCCGACGTCAGATATCCTCGAATCCGGGAGAGTGAGGCTTTTCTTCGCCGCGAGTTTCAGCAGTCGTTCCTTTTTACCTTCGATCGTTCGACGATGATTTCCCCCTCTCCCTCCTTAGTTCCGTTGTTAAGAACGTTCCGCGGCAGGAACGAAAGAAATTCCCCACGGGGATTGGTAGCCTCGGCCATCTTTTTTTTCTTTCTTTTTTTTTCAAACATCCCGTAAGGAATTTCATTCCGTCATTTGGCAGCCTCGTCCGGTGGTTTTCCGACCGCGTCTTCTCATCCGAGTTCACGCAGAGAGTGCGTTCCAGTTATGAAATCGCATTTGGTCGACGGTAATCTCGCTGAAACGACATTCGTCGAGACCCAGTGACCGCGGCGGGCGGTCACACAAAGGCTGTTAGAGAGAAAGGCCACCAGAGAGAGACAGCCTGCTGCTATCCTGGGGCTGTTACACCCGTTCGTTAAACTCAACACCGTTGTGTACCGTGCTGCGTCTTTTTCCCGAGTTTAAAGTTCGCGTGGAATCAGAGACTGGTCAATCAAGACCCTTTCCCCCTCCCCACTTTACTCGTTTCCTTCCTTTTCCTTTAATCCGCCCTCTAGCCGCGTAGAGTCGAGAGTTTCGAGACGCTTCTGTGCCTTCCGGCAGTTCTCATCTTCGATCAAGTGGCAGACGGATAAATACATATACAGCCGTCTACTCTCGTTCGACGAACGTGGCGCGCATACCTGTCGAGAAAAGGCTTCCTCGCACCTTCCCCCTCCTGGATTATGTACTGGGCGTATGTACTTGGTGGAAGGTGGTCATAGAATCAAGCAGGTGCTAAAGCACTATTCTTTTGGACACCGTAAAACATGGATTAAAAGGTCCGAGTGCCTGCGTGAGTCTATAAATGATTTGGCCATTTCGAAAACACAGGGCAACACAAATTCGACGAAGGGAAACTAGGAGTGTCCTTGAAACAGGTCGAACATGAGAACCATCCATCTGAACCGACACGCGACATTTAGCAGAGTATAATCGCGATCCGTCCTAACATGATCCACGAAGCCTCCCGCCGGCTTTCTTTTCAATCTAGCCGGATCCATTTGGCGGTAGGTGCATACCAAGCTGTATGAATGCTCGCGATAACAAAACTGCTAGCTTCCCGTGGACTTTAACCAGGCAATTGTACGCAAATGAGCCGAGCCTCGACGGTCTGAGACGTTAGCCCAAGAAAATGTAGGCGCTCTGAAAGCCGTGGCTCGGATTTAATTAAAAAATTTTTTCAAACGGACAGCCTCGTGCGCCGTCGTTGAATGCCCGTATTACCGCGCCACTTTCTTCAACCGTGGACAGATTCAGCCGGCAATTTATACGGACAACGTGTACGTTATAATCTTCGCGAAAGAACGGGAGAAGGGCAGAATATGCTGCCTGTGCGGAAACGGCTGCGAGGATTTAAAAAAAAATTGAGAAATATTACCTAGCGCTGGAATTTTCTCTGATAACAATACGGTGATCCCGACCCCGACTATTATCGCGGATACAAATGCTTGTATGCTTGTATACAAAATGCTACTATAACCCTTTAACCGCCAGTGTGACGTACACATCGCAACCTGCATTAGTGTCATAATTTAAGGGTCTGGGGCGTTAAAGGGTTAACGGTTCGACCCTCTTTAAAATCGAGCCACGTATTTCGAGACCTTTAAAAATTAATATTACCTAATTGTACACCCATTTACGACAAGTTCGGAAGTAAATGTTATCCCTACCTCACATTTTCCCCTAGCGGAAGCCGAGTTTGCTCGTGAGTGTACGTATTCGTGGTGTCGTTAGCAGGTTTGATGATCGTATGAAAACTAGATTACTTCGTGTAAACGATGCTTGATTATATTTCATCTGTATGCACATACTATACGAGGACTGCATTACCTGTCCTGTAAATCCATTCATATTCGTTCCATCGATATTATTTTCGCAAGATCGCCTGGGTGCTCTGTCTAACCGAGGGAAACCTGGTATAAATTTATCGAACAAGAACACCAACCTAAATGGCTGTATCGTTCCCACCACCACGCTCGAATTTCCTTTTCGCCGCAAAACGCAAACGCCACGGAATTTTGATCCGCGTCAGCACCGAGTGGATCGATCGGAGGGGACTGCACGGGAGTACGACATAATGAAAATAACATTTCCGTTTTGACTTTCAATTTTGTACCTCCCCTCGGAGCTTTGCGCCGGTGTGCTGATCCCTCGTTCGAAATGGATTTACACGACCGCCAATATGGGCTTGGCGGCGGTTTATCGAGCCCCCGATGTTCCTATCACGCGGATTTGTTAATTTAAAAGGTAATATCCGTGCGCGCGAGCGCGGCCACGCATGAAATACTACCGCATCGACCGATAATCCACGGGTGTATCCGTTCGCGGATATTTCCGTTTCCGGTCCCTCCCATTCTTCTCTATTTTTTTGCGTTTTTTTTTTCAACGTTTTTTCCCCCACCTGCCCTCGCCACTCTTCCGCCGATTCTATCCGCGGATTTTCATCAAGCTCGATTCACCTCTCGTTCCCAGGATATTTCAACGGGTGTAAACTATTTGTTAATTCTATTTTTCCGATTGTGCCCCACCGAATGGTCCCCTTTGTCCAAAGTAATGGACGGTCGAGGCACGGACGGTGTGCACGCGACACGAAACGTCTCCAGTATTTTACTTAAGTTCGACCATTCGGACTCGGACCCGGCCTCCTTGCCGGTCACCGGCGGCGAACGAGTATTTATTGTCGTCGAACGCGTAACGTCCACTCTCGGGTCTGTGGAAACTTATCTGGAGCCGAAGTTTTACCGGCGTAACGGAGAAAAGTTCGTTCAGCCAGGAATGGGGGTTACACAGAACGCCCTGGCAACAATGAACCGCCTGGAATCGCGATAGACGACTCAGCGCCACATGATCTTTCGCTCTTTCTATCCTGCACGGAGAACGACTCGTTGAATTTTTCAAATTTCACCGTCGAACTGCCGGCACGCGTCACGCGTCCCGTTCACGCTCCCTGAATTCTTTCATTTGCCGGCAGAGTTGTTTTTTCAATTCGTCCTGGCCTCCTCACCCTACCACGACGAATTTCCCCGGCGGTTTTTTTCATCAACTTGCCGGCGATAGCGTTTTAATTTCCCCGGCCACGCGCGCGAATCGTGGTGCTTTCAATTTGTTTTACAACACGGCACTTGAATATATTTCGTTGCTTTTAGCCTCGGCTATTTTTCTTTGTGAAGGCTTTTAAATCGCGTGATGTAGCTAGTTTATGAGAAGAATCGAAGGAAAATTGTTTCTGTTCGCTCGACGAGAACGAAGATTGAATTATCGTGGAAACGGACAGTTCGAACATAGTTCACCTACCTTTTGATCCTTTTGCCAGATGCATTGACCCCGTTTGCCGAGCACGCGACAGATCAGCTTCGCGTCCTGCATGGGATTCACCTCGGTGTACTGGGGTGTCTCCTCGAACTGCTGAATGCCGCGACACACTGCAAGCATTTCGGAAAAAGGGACTCGTTAGAAATGGCAAAAAAAAAAACAATTGTTTGGGGTGTTAAGGTGCGTATCGACTTGTTGCGTATCCTAGTATCGTATCACCATACGACACATTTTTATATGCGACGATGCAACTGTTGCCCATCCACATTGATACACGACGGTGATACGATACGAGGATACGCAACAAGTGGATACGCACCTTTAGAGTATAACATACGGAAGTATAGGATCGATGTAGACTATAGTCACTTAGTTTTCTTGTATATACGTTACAACAAAATGTTTATTTTCACATTCGTAGGCAAGATTCAAATTTTGCGGGGTCGCCGGTAACCCCAGGGTGACGTTCCAGGGATAAACTGGTGTATGTGTAAATAAGAGCACGGTTTTATGCGCACCAACGAGACGAGTCAGTAAAAATATGCAAAACATTCGTTTGCAAAGCCAAGCTATTCGCTGGCTTAGGTCTCTGTTCCACCTAAATGGTAATCACCTTCTTTTGTTCATAGCTACTGACTCGACTCGTTGGATGAGGTATATGCTGAAGATACTGGCTTTAACATCGCACTATTCTGTATACTCGAGCCTGTTGTAATAAAAACTTTATTATCCTCGCTTGTTCGATCGATAGAAAACAAGAAAGAAAAAGCAGAAAAAATCCTCGTATCGCGAATGAACGGAAAAGTTGTGTTGTCGAAACGAGGAAAAGGTAGCTCTCGGCCCGAACGTACAAGCACAGGGCTTAAGCCCAGCTATTAAAGCAGGCCGTTGCTCGTTAAAGTTGTTATTTAATTCGCAACTTCGGCAAATTCGTTTAACCGGCTCGATCCGGATCCCCGTCCCTCACCCGGTAATTCATCTCCCGGGTTCGCCGATAAATTCTATCAACGGGGATAATCGCGTCCGTCGTCGAAAACGATGCGCCCTTAATTCCGACACGGGCGAGTCGTCGTAGACGTCGACGTCAGTCGATTGATCAGACCGTCTCCGATTATTTCTTCGTCCCGATTCCCACCGAGCTTCATCCCCTCTAGCGACTGATTTTCCCGACGATTAAACGAACGGAACGACGAGACCAGCCGAAAAACGGGTGCTGCGTATTTTCATCGATTCACTCGGCTAGCGTGGATGACGTGAAAGTTTTACGCGGCGGCGGCAGCAGCGGGCCCCGTTCTCGCTCGTCGGATTGCGTCGTTAAAAATTCAATTTTTCACCGAGATGAGAATGATTAATAAAGCCCAGTTTTTGCTCGGGAATGCCGGAGAGGACGGCTGCGTGCGCTTGCTCGCGAGGAAATAACTTTGCAAAATTAACAAACCGACGGTACCGAAACTCGTTTCCTCGCGACGATCGTGGTGGGCGTTTTACTGCCAGGGAGAAAGGACAAGAGAGACGAATAACATACGATGATTTTGATTTGTCGAAATAAGTAGGTCTTGAGATATCACTGTACAATGCTTGTGCCATGATTAAGTAGTACGTACAATCGATCCAGTATTCTGAATTATATTTTGAGAGAAACAATTGCACCAATGAATGAACACTTGAGAGATTTTCACTAAAAAGGACACTAAAGTATTCAAGACTAAAATCTACCCGGAAATAGGACGCACCAAACCTTAAGCTCAATTTTCCTTATCTTTGTAGACCTGTCACCTATAAAATGTAATATTTTTGTAAATTAATGCGCTTTGTTCCGTGGAAATAAATATTATTATTATTATCATCTTAGTTCCAATAATACCACCAGTACGGTGACACCCATTACAGAGAAACGAAGTTTCGAAATCCATCGTTCCTAAACAGCGATCATTGAAATCGTTCCCGTTGAACACGATTCACCGGAGGAACAAACAGCTGCGGAGTATCGGTGTGCTCGCGGGATCTTCGATAAGCTACGTACGGACTCCGGGAAAATAATTTATGGCGGTGATTCACGGCCGAGACAAAGACCTTGCCAGAAGTTACGATGTAACTTCCTCGATGAATTATGCATCCCCGAGAACCCAGGCCGGGGACTTATTTTCGCCCGGGTACTGGGAGATAAAGCGACGCGGGAATTCGCAGAGTTCCGGGCTACTTGTTTGCGCTGCGGCGGCGGCGACGGCCTCCCGATGAAATTAATATCGCGGTGTCGAAAATACTTCGTGGCGGAGAATGTTTTAAGCGAAGTATTCGTAGTGGTTCCAGGGAGGGAGAGATATCGATGCCAGCGATGCAGCGGCGTTTGGTATCGCGAACTTTGCCCTTGGAATCCATTGGAATCCAACAGCCGTACTCTCGATTTGGGTTAATCTTTTCGATATTGATGCCAAGTATACTCGTTATTCCCTTGTTTAATGACGAGTATACCTGCCAGTAAACAAAAAAACTTTACCGTTGTTATTTAAAGTAAAATTTAGGTAAAATAAAAAACATAATCGTAATTTTAACACATTTTAGAATAGTTTATCCCGAAATAAGCGAAACATATAAGGAAACAAAATTCTTTGACGCAAACGGCTATCACATCGTGATAAAAAAATAGAGATGACCTTGAAATCTCTAAGTGTCACAATATGCCCCCCTCTATACCATGTAAGTTTTGTATATAAAAGGTCTCTGAATTATTTCGGTCTCTCTGTATACCTCAAGTATACCTACTCGCCTATAGCTTAAAAATAATTAAGCGCACAAGTGCTTATTTTTAGAGTGAAATAAAACAGTTAACGGGTTAAAGACGCGGGACATAACACGATCGCCGATAAGAGGAATACGCGGGTGTTCGAGTAGTAGATCCTTTCGCAACAGGTCGAGCGTATATACGGCGATGAAGGCTCGAAGGTCCGACGTCGGTTGCACACGTTCGACTTGCTAATTGCGTTTGCGTATCGTGCTCGCGCAGGGCTAGTATCAATGGCAAACACGCTCGCGGCGGAATCCCGCGGATCATCCTCGCCGCGAACACCGTGTTTCGACGCGGAAACTTGAATCCATTCGATCCACTATTTTCTATTTACAGGATCGGATATGAAGTACACCCGCGACCGACGAAGTTTAGCGGATAAATAACGTTGTTTGCACACCGGGCCCCGGGCAAAGGAATGGAGATTAAAACGGGGAAAACAAGCCGTTGATGATAAAGTAACCTCCCACTGTAGGATGGAACATTAGAATCTACGGCTGGTTCGCACCCCTTGGTTGTAGTATGCTAGTTGAACTTGACGAAAAACACTCCACCGTGATATACAGGGTGGTAATTTTAACTCGAGCACCTAAATTATTTCCGCTACTATTGGAAGTAAGAAAAAATTACTAAATAGGATGTGCATGGTTTTAAAGCGTTGATTAAGGCGATATATTTTCGTTTTACTTCTGCATTCTTCAAACTGAAGCTGAGTTCTTCCCCTCCAAGGTCACTTCAAGGTCATGGTGTGTAGTGTTGAAACCATATACACATCCAAAGGTATAACGAAACCGATATATTACCGAAAACCGAAATATATATCGGTATAGTGCCGGTATTTCATGTTTCGGTAGAAGTCCCTGTAAAATACCGGTATATATTTCAGTTTTCGGTAATATATCGGTTTCGGTATACCTTCGGTATTATATCGGTATTTTTCGGTTGTCCCTTCAAGATCTTATACAAATCGAAATACAAATATTTACTCGTAATTTTTTAAGATCATTACAATTTTCAAGATATTTTTTATTATATTTCTACGACGCAAAACTTGAAAGAACAATTTCAAAGAATGTATGTGCATGAAGGAATGAAAGAACGGATCCAGAGTGGATTTCAGCTTCGACGAGCGTAAAACAGCATGGAACAATCCCAGATTTAACGACCGTAATTCTAAGCATAGTTAGTCATTTTATACTCAATTAAATACATTTGATTTTACACTACACTTGTCCAGCCTCGATTAACAAAAACCAATTAAATTCTACAGTAATTGTAACACGGCATTCACTATTATCTACTCACCAACATTCAACCACACCAGCACCAACTGCGATAACCAGTTGATTGAAAACTCCCCGTGTCGATAAACAGACAATGCGGCCGAACACACCACTCGTCCGTCAAAAAGTAAAAACTCCGAAACACACACGAAAGTTATTACGGGCCACGATTTACAGGCACGTAGCGTTCCACATAAACAATCCCTGAGAAAACACTTCTCGTTCATTTCTTGTATAGGTATGTTCCTACAGTTTGACGTTGGCTTGTACGAAAGTGCATCGACTAGATTCGCCCGGCTATTGGGGTGCTTGAAAATTTACGATGTTCCTTCGCGAGCGAGTAAATCAATACTGTGTCACGAGCATCGTGCAATAAAATGCTTTATCCCTGTTATTAGTAGCGGTAATGTTTTTCTCTCCCCTCTTCCTACCCTATAGCGGAGTCCTTTCCCTTTGAACTGAGTCCCACTTCACCATTCGACGCGCTTTCGGCACTCCTGGCCCGCATTACGGTTTTCCGTCTCGCTGGTTCGCATTGATTGGCTTTTGAATCGTCCAATTATTAATCTCTCATCCGGTTTTCCGCGGGAACTAAACCAGTCAGGTAGCGTGTGATAGGTCGTTGCCGGAGTCGTTCAACCGTGCCTATTAATCGTGTTTACAGAACAGACGACCACAGAGGGTATTGGTAACACCTTGCACGAAAACCTCTATCACGTCTTTGACTCGTCTCCTTGAACGTTTTACCCTAGAACGACGATAGCTATTTCTGTCTCGAGTTGCATTCTAATGTACAAACCTCGTTAAACGAACAGTTCGCTATTTATCGCGAGTCGTGGAAAACGATTCAGGTAGAGCGTTACGAAATTGCCCGGAATTTAGAGGTGTCGAATAAAAAGTTTTCAAGTTAAATTTATCAATGCACCTGTATCGACTAAAGGGAGGGGGACAAAAAGCTGAAAGTCTGTCTAGGAATGAACCACGTAATGTTGCCAATGCGAGCAATTTCACGCCAAGCGATTCCCGGGCTCGATTCGGTTTCGATTGTGCCC